GTACTTTACTCTAAAGTTACAGTATAAAAGATCATGAAAACACCAGTACTAGCAACAAATTTTACTTTGACTTAATGACTGTAAATGCAAAAGATACCAAAGGGACATTCAAACTCATAAGTCGAAAATAAACTAACAGCGCCATGGCTAAAAAGAAAAATATCAGCAAACAAACAAACAATAGTACACAAAACACAACATAGAAAACTGAAGACTGAGCAACGCGAACCCCATCTAATATGGGGGTGATCTCAGGTGCTCCAGAAGGGTAAGCAGATCCTGTTCCTCGTGGCAACCGTCGTGTAAGTGTTGCTCTATACCTATTGCAGTTTATTCAAAATTCTGACCAAATTGCAATTTGTTTTGTCCAACAAAAGTGTTCAGGTCAGAAATTTTTACAAACTGCTGTAGTAAACCACAGTCAAGTTGTGAAAGTGCAAGGTGATAATAAAAAGCATACTTATAATCCTATTAGACTTTAATTCCTCTTCATTGTTTATTATGAAAATGAATATAAAAATTTCTGTACATTCTTTTATTGTAATTGTCTTTCAAAGGTGAAAGGTAGTAATTTTTGAACTGCTAAAAAATGTCCAAATTTAAGTTTTTGTATTATTTCTTCTAAAATGGTGTTTTTCTAATCTATGCATGCTACAAAGCTTTCTTTAAATGAATCTCTAAAATACTTTGTGAAATGTACTTTCAGGCTAAATATGTTCTCTTGAAGTTTCAAAGGGAGATAAGATCAATATTTCAAACGATCAATAATTTTAGATTATCTCCCATTGAAACTTATTAACAATGTATTGTAATTTCACATATATTTTACTGAATATTATATAACATGGTTTAATTCAAACTGATGTCTTATTCTTATGAATTTAGAAGATTTTTTAAAAGAAAAATTGTATGAAAGCTTAGTTTGGACATTTTAATAGCAATTTAAAAATTACTACCTTAGTCATTATCACCTTTTAATTGACAATTACAATAAAAGAACGTATAAAAATTCTTATAAACATATTCATAATATCAAAGAAGTGGGATCAAAGTCTAATAGGATTGTAAGTATGCTTTATTTGATCACCTTGCACTTTCACAACTTGACTGGTTTTCTACAGCAGTTTGTTAAAATTTCTGACCAGTTAAAACTTTGATTTGATAAAACAAATTGCAATTTGTTCAGAATTTTGAATAAACTGCAATAGGTATAGAGCATGCATGCACAACACTTAACAGTCAAGTCACAGTAATTAGATTTATACCATATCAAAGAATAATACCCAAAATTGACAACAACACTTCAAATGGTCTGCAATTTTATTTACTATGGTCTACATGTTTTGCCTTCAAGGCAGGCATCATCAGGACAATTTGCATACAGAAATTAATTACTGAAGTACTCAAAGTGGTACATTGAATTTGACATTGACTCAATGGAAATGATTCACACGGGTGTTGGTTCACCAGACGGAGTTTAATTTCATATCAAAGAATGTTTACAGTTACTGAAAGCAAACTCAAAGTAACCTACTATGAAAACATGCTTAACCACAAATAATAACAGGTTGTTACTAAGCCATATATAAATCAAAGAATTATAATAATGTATACAAATATGTTCTATGTAAGTTTTTTTACCTCATATTTCTTAAAAAAACCTATGCTAACCTATACGTTTTTAAATAATTTTCAATGTACATACATTTATTTTTAAAGAAAAACTTCTTAAACATCTATCTTTCAACGATATGAGTGTTAAATAGTACATGTAAACTAAATAAAAAGTCATAGCTTAATTTGATTTGACAGTTAATTCCTTTTCTTTATTTTAGTTACAGGGTACCATTCAGTGAGGTTACAAAAAAATTACTACAATCTGACTGAGAATTTATCTGACGTAAGAAATGTCATTGATTTATTGATATCAAAGGAAGTTTTAGCACCTGATGACCATGCAGAAATTGTTTCCAGTGGAGTGTCAGCTGAAATGAATAGAAAACTAATAGCTAAGATCAGAAGTGAACAAGATTATCTGTTTCTTCTTGAGGCACTCAAGGTGGACCCTTGCAATGCAGAACTAGCATATGACTTAGAATCAACTGATGTTAGCCAAGATGAATTAAACCTTGTTCAAACAGGTTCAGTTATTTTATGAACTATTTATGAATTTACCATGTTTTCATTGAATGCCCAACTGCAAGCATAATAAAATTGAAATCATCTAAAACTTCCCAGAGAATAGGGAGCACTTCTTATATAACATGGATCAGGTTTATGATGATCAGGGGCACTAGAAGGTAAACTTTCTGCTTTACTTGGTGAACAATTGAAGTTTTACCAGAAGAGTTAAGAAATATTACCAGTGTACATTCATGTCAAGATGGTTTCGGCTCAAAAGTGTAATTTTGATTTACCAATACTTTCTGTATGGTATATTTGTGATATGTACTTCATAATTTGTAATTTTGTAAATTTGAGATATGTTTATTTGTTATTCAAAATTAGTAGTACGTTGATTTGAATCTTGCATTTAAGGTATTTTAAAAGTTAATCTTAAAAAAAATGCCCAGTATTGATCGTAATGTTATATTTTTTTACTTTCACTGTTGGATAACTCAGCCAGGTACAACAAAGTTGGACTATAATTAGGGCCCCGCCGAATGGCGGACGCCCTATAGTGATCAGTCTGTCCGTCCGTCTGTCCGTCTGTAACAAATTATGTCCGCTCTATATCTAGAGAACCGTTATGATTTCAAAGTTTATATACTTGACATGTATATTAACCAACACCAGAGGGTGTGTCATAATGTATGTACAACTTCCTAGGTCAAAGGTCAAGGTCAAAAACTTTGGTTTTAGTTGACAACCCCATGTCCTATGGTAAAGATCATGTCCACTCTATATCTTGAGAACCGTTATGATTTCAAAGTTTATACTTGACATGTATATAAACCAACACCAGAGGGTGTGTCATAATTTATGTACAACTTCCTAGGTCAAAGGTCAAGGTCAAAAAATTTGGTTTCAGTTGACAACCCCATGTCCAATGATAAAGATACAAATTTTTTACCACCTATTATTCACAGCGGGGCCCACAGAGATGGCTCCCATCTCAATGATATCTAGTTAACTCTGACAATGCATCACCATGCTTGTTTTAAGGAAAACTCTTACTAACATTTGCAGCAAATTTATTTCCTCATTGCCTCATATTTTGCAGAAAAATAGCATTTCTTACATTTGAAAAAAGTTAAATGACTTATATAAAATCAAATTCCATATGCAGTGTTCATGTAGTCAATAATTAACTAAATACAGATATTGCTCTACTAATTCATTTGAAAACAACATATCATTTTTTGTGAGATTCAGAGAAGTAGTTTACTGTGAATTTAGAATTTTTTGCGATATAGTATTATTGTGAAAATTATGACTAGATACATTTCACAACATAATTTTGAAAGAGTTATGCCCCTTGGATATATTCATTACATGAAAAATTGCATTGTAAGTCCCCTCATGTGTACAATTTTTGCTGGATTTTTATCAAATTTATATCATAGCCTTATATCATGTATATAAGCAATGTCTTTGACAAATTAGAATTCAGAGCTGATTTTTACAAATATTAATTATATCAGAAATTGCATTCCATTTGCTCTCATGCCTTCATAAATTCTCTTGGATATTTATAAAAAATTTGAAAAAATAAAAAAAAGTTCTTTTTAGTTATTGCCCATAGACAGATTAAATATGTGCAAAGGGGTGGACATTGGAACTCTGTTATTTTATTTTTATATAATTTTTTTTTACAACAGCCACAGTACCATCACTAACAAACAGACCAGGATTCCAGACACTGGTTACATTAGTTTCTATGGTTAAAGCTGTACAGATTCCTAAAACAGAACCAGACAGCCATGATACCAGTTTATCAGCAGACTTATATAGACTACAGTCTTGGTATAAAAAGATCATTAAAATGACATCCATGGATTCACATCAATACCAACAATTTGTTGAAATAATACAAGCAGTAAGTTATTGTTTTATGTATGTTAAGTGTTTGTTTGGATGTAATAAATGGTAACACAACCTTATCAATCCGTTAAAAAAGTTAATTACATTAGTCCTAATATATGATTTATCTATAATATTATCTTTGTTAAAAGAAAGATGTCTCTGGTGGACTGACTTCAAAGGGCAGTTGTGAGGTTTTGCTATAATTTTTTCTTTAATTTTCTTCGACCTTTTAACATTTTTTGTAGGCTGAAAATTCCAGGTCCATTTCATTTCTTTGCTACCAAATATTTTAAAATGTTATTGGAATGATAGTTAAGATGTCTGAGAAGACCAGGGTTGTTTTTTATTCTAGCCAGGTCCAAGCCTAGGACTTTTACCTCAAGATTTTGCTAAGCCCCTTAACCTAAGTATTAAGCCCTATGTTTTTAAAAAGTCATTAATTTTATGAAACTTGTTGTAGCATAGTAACACTCTGAGACTTTTTGTGTAGTTAACCATACAAGGCCCCCGATTTTGATTTCACAATTTTTGTAGTAGTTTTGTAACTTTTACCATTCTCTGCCTATTGTATCATAGTGTTACACAGGGGACTTTTCATATTCATTAATTTTGTGAAGTAGACAATGTAATAACTATTTAAATTTTGCAGGTATCTTTGTTGGTGTTTTGTTTTACTATTGTGGTATAAAGGCTATTCATTAATGATTTTGAAATCTAGATTGATTTATTGGTTGATGTTTGATTCAAATCTATATGGTTATGTTAAGTTTATTATCGATTATTTAGTTGAAGAGCAGCGGAGGACATTTTGTAATGGCATACTTTTTAGAAAGGAGAAAAAAAATAAAAACAACACATTATAAATTTCATGTTTCCAAGGTGGTTTATGGAATGGTGTAAGACCTGTTTATCTGTCTGCAATGAAATAAGATTTCTTAAATCAGTTTTATGTTTTTTGTTTTATTTGTAAACAGATTTTTATGAGAATTGGTGGAAAGGAGAATCCTGCTGTTATAGAAATTAGATTGAGTCCTGTCCTGCTAAAACAAGTTAAAAAGATTCTTGACCATTTACAAGGTAATCTAGTGATTAATTAAATATTACTGACGAAATTATATAATAGTCTCTGATAAGAAATTATGTGAGAAAGTTTTAAGATGTTACTATGAAGGGATAAAGTTAAAGATTGAGAAACATGAACCCTATATAAAATCTGTTTAAATACTGTTAATTCAGAATTTATTGCGTGCATTTATTATTGCGATTTTTAAAGATTGGACAAAATTGCAAGATAAATTATTTTGATATTGGGAAAAGTTGCATATACATATAAATGTTTCAGATATCAGAATGCGTGTTCTAATTATTGCGAGACTCCCCCAGACACATTATTCGCATTCATTAATAGAAATGTCACAATAGTTTCAAAAAGCCAGTGATAACCACGACCTTCGGTAGCAAAACTGACATTCCTAGTCAATTAAGATTGAAGTTGAGTGCACATGATATGTGCAAGATTCAAACTCATAACCTCAGTGTTGCCAGGCTAGTGATACAGTAATTAAACTTCTTAAACAACTCGGCAACCGTCATAACAAGTAGTTAAAAGTCTTGAATACAAGAAAGAAAATGAAAAGTTCACTATGAAAAATTGAATTAAAGTTTCTCAAATAATATAGTATGAAGGAGATGTGGTATTACTGCCAATGAGACAACTATCCACCAAACGCAGAAATACGAGATTTAGGATATAAGCAACTAAAAGTCACCACTCGACCTTCAACAATGAGTAAAATCAATACTGTATAGTAAACTATTAAAAGTCCCAGGATTACAAAGTGTGAAACAATTCAGAAGAGAAAACTAACAACCTGATTGACACTAAAACAAAAACAAACAAAAAAACACCAAAAACAATGATGATAATGATATTAACTAGACTGCAGGATGTATAAATGCACAGAAATGTCTGGTCAGAATGAGAGTTAAATCCACTGCGACTTGTGAAGAGAGTGTCACTCGGTTAATAGCCCTTGCAACAACTCTTTTAGGGATTCCTAGGTATCCACCAGCCAAATTTCTGTCCCTATCTAATATACCCTTATTTTCTAGTGAGATTCTCACTTTCACTCCCTAAATCATGGTGGACTCCTTATACATGTTATAGCAGGACTTAGATTTTGCATTTATTGTTAAAATTTTGTCCTGAACCAGAATGAAATAATTGACACTGGACATAAAGATAAGAACTATCAATCAATTATACAACCATAAATTTATTTATTGTTTCTAGAGGAGTCCACTCAATTAGGGGAAACAATTGTGAATCATGTGTATGATGATTGGTGAAAAGGAGTTTTCAACAAAATTTTAATATTTTGAGTTTTGGACTAATAAATTGGTTAACGTTAAGATTTATTAATTTCACATGTTAAGAAAAAATGGGTTTCATTTTCAACCTCATTAATATTACAATGTATACACATTTTATTTTCTCTGTGAATTCTTTTATAGCCACCTTCTCTTTATTTCTAGGAAATGGTCATTTAGTTGCATTTTACATAATATTTTTCTGTTTTTCAAAATTATATTTTAGAATATATTTGTCAAATTCATACATTTTGTATTTTGTTGTACATGAATACTTTACTATTCTCAAAGCTAACTTTTAGTTCTTTTTTTTAATCTTTCTCTTGTTTACAGTGTGTTTCCTATTTTTATATTTTAATATGTTTATTTTATTTGTGTTAGATATATTTTCTAAATATAAAATCCATGAAAATGTACCTTTTGTGATGAGCCAATAAGATAAAAAGAAAGCGTCATGTAATAATTAAAGGGTTACTTTCACTACTGAATATTCTTACTAAGTATTTAAAAAAGAATCTATGGGACACTAATGGCTAGGTCTGCTCTTGCAGCTTATTTAGAATTTTAACCTAAATATACAACTTCAACATTTTGTCATCGCAACTCCTCTGAAACCACACAACAGAATTTCCTGAAACTTTGTAGATAATAAGGACATAATATTACATGGTGTAGATGTGCATATTAACAGGAAATTATGATTCTATTTTTTTTCTTGGAGTTATGCCCTTTTGAAGTTAGAATTTTGGCCTAATTATACTAATGCAACAGTTTGTCATTGCAACTTCTCTGAAACCACACAACAGAATTCCCTGAAACTTAAATTTGTAGATAATAAGGACATCATATGTAGATGTGCATATCCCCAAAAATTAGGCTTAAATTAAGATATTGTTTGTTTGCAGTTTACCGACCGACCATTGGAAATCCGCCCGACATTGATTTGAAGAAATTATTTTTAATAATTCTATCGACACGATCCAAAACATTGGGTTGTTCCCCGAATTAATTTAAAGTCTAGGTCTTTTCAAGTTCAGTTTTTCTTACCTTCCTGTCAAGGGTTTATCTGACTGTTTAATGGTAAAGCACATGGAGATCGTTTAGGTACAGGTATCCATGAAGTCATGGAGGAGTAATTTACGCTGTCGTTTTCTGTCAATATTAAGACAAATTACAAACAAAAAGGTTTAATGGTAAACTGTTTATACAGATTCAGGCAGAGTTGCACATGGAGTAATGTCTTCGATGTCGGCTAGATATCATGGACGATGATGCAGCGGAAATTTATAAAACCGACATAACCGTTTCTGTCTCAAACAAATTGGGTACAGAATATTTCGATCCTGACTTTAGGGAACTAATATCAGTGGTAAAACAATTCGACAGCAGCCTGAAGTATGCCATATTTTCTATAAATGGTTGTGAAGACAACAAAGATGAAACCACTCCTCCATGACTTCATGGATACCTGTAAAAACCCTTGTACAGAACAGAAATATTAATGGAAAGACAATGCCAAATCAATTAGAAGCCACCCAAACTACACAAATATGTAGGTAAAATGATTGGTCAGCTTGAAAAATAAATATACTCTCTCTCTATATGAAATCTATCTTCTCTCGCAATGAGTATGCTCCTTTAAGATAAGGGTGGCTGGCCCACTCAATGCAATCATTCTCTCTTACAATATTAAATTTACCCAAACTGAGTGGCCTGTGTGAATATAGAATTGAAACATTCCCTAAAGAGCTATGCTGACACCTTTTAAGATAATAAGGACATACTATGTAGTTGTGCATATCGACAGGAAATTACGATTCAATTCTTTTTCTAGGAGTTACACCCCTTTGAACTTATTTACTTTAATGTACTACTGCAACAGTTTGTCATCGCAACTCCTCTCAAACCACACAACAAAATTTCATGAAACCTTTTCAGATAATAAGGAAATACTACATAGATGTGCATATCAACAGGAAATTACGAATCAATTTTTTTTCTAGGAGTTACGTCCCTTTGAACTTATTTGCCCAATATACTACTGCAACCTTTTGTCATCGCAACTCCTCTCAAACCACACAACAGAATTTCATGAAACCTTTTCAGATAATAAGGACATACTACGTAGATGTGCATATCGACAGGAAATTACGATTCAATTTTTTTTCCAGGAGTTACGCTCCTTTGAACTTATTTGCCCAATATACTACTGCAACCTTTTGTCATCGCAACTCCTCTCAAACCACACAACAGAATTTCATGAAACCTTTTCAGATAATAAGGACATACTACGTAGATGTGCATATCGACAGGAAATTACTATTCAATTTTTTTTCTAGGAGTTACGCCCCTTTGAACTTATTTGCTTCAATGTACTACTGCAACAGTTTGTCATTGCAACTCCTCTGACACCACACAACAGAATTTCATGAAACCTTTTTAGATAATAAGGACATACTATGTAGATGTGCATATCGACAGGAAATTATGATTCAATTTTTTTTTTCTTATACAATTTTTTTTTCTTATTTTATTTCTCCAGTGACAATGTGGGGACGTGGGGTATGTGAGCGCGCTCACTAAGGTTCTTTAATTAAATATTGTTAGAAATTGGAAAACAGTCAGATGTCTAATATATTTTTTAAGTTGCCTCTTTATTTCAATTGAGGAAGATTCAATGACTATTTTTTTTTTATTGAAAACATTCTTAGATAAAGCAGCCTGGGCAGGTGTTTATAAAGCTTCAATATCTACATTTTTCTGATAAAAGTACTCTACTCATGAAAGCATTCTAGTCAAGAAGCATATAAGTCAGTGAATATATTTCTTTAAAACATTATTTTAGTCATTCCTTGTTTTATAGTGTTCCAGTATTTAATAATACCATAATTTTTATGTCATATATTGGATAATTACACTATGTTATAGTTTCAGTTTTTATAAAAAAAAGTTTTTAATCTGAAAATGCCTGTTCATTTCAGATTGATTTTCAGTGTTTGTTGTTTTAACATGTTTTTTTCTTTATGAGAAACTTGGTTTGTGTAACTGCTTGTTTAAATTTTATTTTGGCTGATTAAATAAAAGATTTTTCCTTTCTACTGACCCTTCAGTCTGAAGGTACAGTCGGAAAACTGCAAACAAACATATTTTTAAGGTAGGCCTTATTTACAGTTGACTCTTCTATGTGTTATGCCCTTTGAACTTAAAATCTGGCTTCAATATACTACTGCTAGAGTTTGTCATCACAACTCCTGTGAAACCACACAACAGAATTTCCTGAAACTTTGTAGATAATGAGGACATAATATCCACAAGAAATTATTATCAGTTGACTTTTGGAGGAGTTATGATTCTTGGAAATCTGGTGAGATTTTGTTTACCAACTGACAATGTGGGGGCGTGGGGTATGTGAGTGTGCTCACAAAGGTTCTTTAATTCTGTTTTAAATTTACCTTTTGAGTCAATGTTGCGGATCACCACATTAAGGTTATTCCACAATCGTATTGTTGAAGGTATGCAGTATTCTTGGGTCAAAGAAATGTCTACAAAAAGGTTATATTATATCATTCCTATTATGTAAGGGGTAACCAGTAATACTTTGGATTGTTGGTGGAATTAAATTGTAAAGATAGGCCGCTGCATTATTATCTTGAATATATTAAAATAATTATAACCTCATCCTTTCTCTTCGTTCAGCTAGAGTTTCC